TATAAATTATATTATATATTTATAAAACAAACATAAAAAGCAAACATATAAATCGTCGAACAAAAGGAAGAGTAATAAATCTGCCCTTTTCACAATTTGAGGCATGCTTCTCATAAGACCTACTACTTTCAACTATACATTGCTCCCCATTCTCCCCCCACTCCCTTCCCCCTCTATAACCCATCCACAACCCTGATACACCCTGCCTTCTACCCCAACTCACTCTCTCTTATCACCCATCCATCCTAACACCATTCTACATTCCATCATTATCCCCTTCCCAAACACAATTCAACCCTATCCCTTCCCCGCCACAATCCACTAACCCTTATCCCTTGATCCACCCTCCTATACCTAATCCACCCCCTACCACTAATCTTCCCAATTCAGCTTTTCCTCTCCTTTACCCCAATTCATGCATCCCCTTACCTACCACATCCACCCCCTTCCCCTACCCCACCCCCATCCACTCCCTTTCCCTATCCTACCCCATCGACCTCCTTCCCACACCCTTCCCCCATCCATCCCCCTTTCCCTACCCTACCAACAATCCACCCAACATATGCCCATTCTTCCCGCATCCCTTCCTATACCCTCATCAACCTACCCTTCCCCTCTCCTCCCATCTCTCTCCTGATCCACTAACCTTGAACACTCCCGATGTCTGACCTACCTCCATCTAACCCCTTTCACCCTGCCTACCCCCCTCCCCCCGGTGGCCCACCCACCTTCAACAATTCCGATGACTGACCAGAGCTCCGCAGGCCGGGTGTGAAGACATTCAGGTATAGACAGTCCTCCTGTCCAGCTCCAAACGAAGACGGCATATAGTTCATCTGGATACAGTAAGGTTTGAACCCCAGCGCTTGGTACTCACCGTCTGGCAAGGGACAAAGATGTAGAGCGAGTTGAAGGTGGGGGATTGGGGGTAGGGGTGGCGTGCGCTTGGTGCCAGGGGTAATATTTGTGACAAAATGGCTGCCAAAACCAGATGACGTCCAAAGTTTTGGAGTCTTTAGAAAGTTCAGACTTACTTGTCTGTGCCTTTGATCAACATTTCTCGGGTAAAATCCACGTACAGTGGAAACTGTATATAACAGGCCCGGTAATAACAGGGAACCGGTAATAACAGGTATTTTTTAAATCCCCGAATTTTCCCACTCTTTGTCTCAATTAAAAGTTATCGGCAATAACAAGGCCTCATCAGAGCCGAATCGGTTATAGCAGGGACAAAACTCGTTAACAAAGTGTAAAAAGTAAGAGAGACAGAGACAGAGAGAGAGAGA